AACTAAAAATTGTATAGAACATTGTAAGACGGCCTTCACGTGAAATCAATATCGCGAGAGCTGCCGTGATCTATACTAGCCTTGGAACATGGGCTCAATTGGCTCACCTCTCGAATGTTGTTTCGGGAAACTAGAAGCTCTATTGAAGTCCCAATCTGTAACTGCAAGTTCATCTACGGTTTAAACTATATCTTGATTGAAGTCCGAATCTGTTACTGCAGATTTATCTGCGACTTTATATTACATATTACATAGTTGTAGCAGAGATGGATCCCGAATCTGTTACTGCGGATTCATTTGCATCCCCAATCCCTACATTTTGCTCGAATAAAAAGCTCACACTGCAGTATACATCCCGTACTTACTATTTGAACTTATTTTAAGAATCTACTAATTTTGCAATTTTTTTCGTTATCATAAAGAGAACATCTGTTATCATAGTAAAAACTTTTAGATTCTTGCAGTTTTGGAACTGACCATTAACTTTAAATTGCAAAAAAATACTGACCATGGTAGAAGAATACATGTAGCCGCATCGACACAGCGGCTGGGACAATGAACGTTCAAACCAATTTTTAAATTGAAATTTGTGAATGAAAATTTCAAATTTGTAAAAATTGTTAAAAAAAAAGTACATAACATAATAACTTCCGTTGGCGTCGTGTAGGAAACACATATAAATCTACTTATTTTTGAAAAACAATTTAAAAATATTGACATTTCAAGGTTCCCAAGCGTTGATGCATCTACCTGTGTTCTTCTACTATGATACTGAATTTTTTGCCCTTGGTTATTCTCCTTGATTATTCGTTAAAATGTACGTGCTAGTTTTGTTGCAACCTTGGTAGATCTACTAGGTAGTCGCATCACCCCAGCTGACGGCACTATTAAATGTAAAAACAAGTTGTTGTAATGCTGATTCGCCCTAAATAAATGCAACACAAAAACAAAAGTTTGTTTATGTCTTTTTCACTAAAAATATTTTTTTCTGGTATTGCAAAATTTAAGAGCAAGTTTAGAGTGAATTACTAGAAAAAAAGTAAAAAGAAAATGAAAAGATGTTCCATTTGCAATAAGAAATACCGTCAGTCACGAGAGGTATGACTCAGTTGGTCTTATCCAAACTTCTACTAGCCCCAGCTCTTCCCTCTCTCTGTGGTCTGTGAAAACTCTTTGTGAGGTTTGGGGAATTTGCGTCGGCTCTGCTACCAAGAGGGCTTTTACTGGTGGCGATATTGGTGCTAAGTTCTTTCTTTAAAACCATTTGATCGGCAACACTTGCTTCTGTTGTGCCATGTGTTGTTGTTGGTGTAACCGGTTGCCAACATTTGCTGAAATATTAGTGGTATTTGTCGATGACGTAGAAGATATTACAGTTGTGGGGTTGTATAAATATTTCGGGGGCTTACTATCAACTTGGGACTGTTACAATGGTCCCCGCAAGGTAGATCTAACAGGTAACCGCATCGGCGAATTGCTACAACAAAGCAACTTTTGTGGTACCCTCAAATGTCAAAATTGGCATCTAAGGCGAAAAACATAGATTCGCCATGACATTTAAAGGTTGCGGCAAATTTTGTTTCAACCAATCAGAAACGAGGTGTTTGTTTACATTTTATTTTGTGTTCCTCTCGTCGTAAACGAACGTCGCAATATAAGTTTTTATTGTAAAACAAATAAGAGTAAAATAAGTATTAATTGTAGTATTGCGATATTTTTTAAACCAAGCAACTTATAATGACTATATTTACTGGTTTAAACCGAAAGTTTTCCGGAACTGCCAATGGCAAAAGTCGAATTCTTGCACTACTTCCCGTGATGTGCTTTGGGAATCTTAGATGTTGAGGCTAACTTAATTCTTAAAGCTACACTCCATTCTAACCTCCTTCCTTCATTTTCTTTTAATTTTTTTACTGGTTTCACTCTTAACTTGCTCTTAAATTATTTGAAATATTATAAAAAGGTACTTTTAGGGAAATTTATTGTTGCATTCATTTAGGGCGAATTCTTCATTACAACAATTTGTTTTGACATTTAATGGTGCCGTCAGCTGGGCTGATGCGATTACCTAGTACATCTACTTTGGGTCCCCGAGAGTCGTATTATTACATGGCTTGATTTCCACACATAACATAAAATGTAAACAAACACTTCGTTTCTCATTAATTGAAGCAAGTTTGCCGCAAACTTTAAATGTCATGCCCATGATCCAAGTATAAGGTCCCCCTTCCAGCTCAGCTGATTACCAGACGATCTGTCAATTAAATTTGAATTCGCTGCAACAAAAACAAACTTCAAAACGATGGTAGAAGAATACAGGTAGTCGCATTGCACAGCTGCTGTGGCAATGAACTTTATGATACCCTACACCACTTTGCTAATTTAGTTGAGCTCCACTTAATAATTAAAAGTTTTTATGGGAGAATTCAATCATACACGCTATGATTATAAATATAATTTAAAATTCAAAGGACTAAATATGCCGAAGCATTTGCATCTTTTAAATTTGAAAACAGATAAAGATATATATGGGAACTATATCCAAATCTGAACCGATCTCGATAAAATTTGGCAAAGATATTTCTGAGCTGTATTTGATATATTTCCCTGAATATCGTTGTTACAGAGTGCATTTTACGGCTGCGGAGGACAAAAATAACAAATCGGATGAACAATATATATGGGAACTATAGCTATATCTGAACCGATTTCGATCAAATTTGGCATACTTTTTTTTCAGGCCTAATTTGGTTGTATGTGCAAAATGCCATACTATTCGGGCTGATATTACACGTTTGGTGCACAATAAAAGGCAAATCGGACGAAGGTATATATGGGATCTATATCTAAATTTTTACCGATTATCTCAATCAATAGGGTTCGTCCTTGGGCCAAACAAATGTTGTTTGCAAAATTTCATCACAATCGGATAATAAATGCGACCTGCATTTTGTTCACAAGAATACATGGACAGACGGACGGACTGACATGCATAAATCAACTCAGAAAGTGATTCTATGCAGATCATCAAAAGGAACTATGGGTCTATCTCGTTTCCTTTTACCTGATACAAACAAATGCACAAAGACATAATACCCTGACCACCTTGTGGTGTAGGGTATAAAAGTTATTCAAAAAATTATTGCAATGCTTGGGAACATTGATATGTCAAAATTGTTAAAATGTTTTGTACGACGCAAATTGGAGGTTGTTATGACATGCAATTTTTACAAATATCAACAATTTTTTGTTTAACATTTTTAATTTCAAATTCGGTTTGACGGTTCATTGTCCCAGCAGCTGCGTCGATGCGTCTACCTGTATTTTTCTACCATGTGTTCTGTCAAGGCGAAAATATTTATTTTCGCCTCAAGCATGAATTTTGACATTTCATCTGGTAAAATAACAGCTGTTTTTAGATTAATTCGCTCGAAGGAAGACCTTATAATTGGGCCATGGTCATGCCGAATGTATGTTTTTCGCCTTAGTTGCTTTGTTGTAGCAATTCGCCGATGCGGTTATCTGTTAAATCTACCTTGGTTGCAACCTTAGTAAGTAATTAGTTGCCACTTGTTTTCGCCGTCATTCGGAAAGACAACACGCAATATTGTTTGCAAGGCAAATATCGTTCTGCATAGGTAGGTATATTCATGGCTCAAAAAGAAATGTTGTTTAACTTCAAAGAAACTAGAAAAATGCAACTCTCTGCTGGAGTCTTATTACATAGACAACGAAATGCTCTCACCGTTTATCTTCGAAAAAATCGGATCAGCAGATGTCGTCTATATCGTTTCAGGGGTTTGAGTGGGAATTTTGAAGTCACCCAATTCTAAAATGTTAAAAATAACAAAAACTGTAGGATATTTGTCAGTTGAAACTTATTCCACAATAAAAGAAATGTGAAAAGTACGTGATGACATCGAAAAATTCGGGAATAATCAAGTGAAATTCTTAAAAAACGATAAAATGTGTTTTCGATGTCGAGTGGGTGGAACACGTAAACCAACACGTTGACTATGCAAAACATGATGAGAGCCACCTGGATAAAAAGACAAAACTAACTTTTCGTTGTCTATATCTTCGAAAACTGCATTCATTTTGCAACTAAATTTGAAATAATTTCAAAATATTGTATTTTTTATTCAAAACAATACAAACACATACACAAAATGTGTATATGTTTTGACAGAAAAAGGGCACAAAAATTGTATTTAGGGTGTAGTTTTGTTCTATCTTCTGTAATTATGCCATGGATATATTGAATAGAAAAGAGTAGTTCAAATTAATACTAAAAACATTGGTGTTTTTATTTGGCCTGTTCCAGAACTGCAAGAATGTAAAAGTTTTAACTACGATAAACGATCCCCTTTATGATATCGGAGAAAACTGCAAATATAGAAGATTCTTTCAGGTTCTAAGGCTCGACGCATTCGGCGTTTTACACCTGTTACTGTTAGTAGAATGCAACCAGATGCGCACGTCTTTAATACAACCAGAAAGATGTCTACTAGATTTAAAATATTTTTCGATATCATAAAGGGAAAATCGGATATCGCAGTAAAAAGTTTACATTCTTGTCATTCTGGGACAGACAATATGTATGGTAGTTTAGCATTTCTTTTTAAAATCATATTCTATACATCTTTAAATATTCATTTCGTCACAAAATGGGTAAATGTTGTCATTATTTTAAGCACTTGTGCATATCGATTCACAAGGAAGTATAAAAAGAAGACGCACATACCTATCTGTATTCTCTTTATCTTGCCTACAAATTACCTACATATATATTCAACAATCGGTTTTGTTTATTTTGCATTTTTTAAGAAAATTCTTATATTGTTGAAAAACCACAAAACATAAATGGAATATTGGGGTTATTCCACAAAATTGAATCTAATATAGTAGAACCAAATTGCTTTATACTAAATTTGTTCAATTTGTTGCACATCAACGTCGAAAATTTGCATTTATTTTGCAATCACATTTGAAATAATTTCAAATTATTGTATTTTTAATTGAAAACAACACACAAAATGTGTATATGTTTTGGCAGAATAGGGGCACCAAAAGAAAAACATTGTATTTGGGCGGTAGCTTTGTTCCACATTCTGTAATTGTGCCATGGTAGGTATCATGGTACAATGAAGAGAAGGTAGGTCAACTTTAAAAAAATGCAAGTATAGAGGTCTACCTGTTTGGCTTGTAATGTCAGAATTAGTATCAAAACAATAAAAAATCAAACAACTTGTTGCATTAATTTTGAACAAATAATTGAAAACCGCGAAAACTGAATGAAAGGTCAACATTTCTTTTCAAAATCATGTTATATATCTCTTATGGTTTATTTCGCGACATAAACTGTAGACTTTGTCGATGCATATGTTGCAATAAGCATTTTGAAAACACCCGAATTTGAATATTTTCTGAACAATTTTTTTATTATTGAAAAGAATATGCACACATAAACAAATGAAGTTGACATATTAAGCCAGAAAAATAAAAAAATTGAAATCATATGGTAGTTCTGCCCTACCTTGAATTTATTGTACCATGGTAGGTATTATGATGTGGAACTGGCGTATTTCTGTAATACGTACGTTCAAAACATTTTACTATAATGGGGAAGTTCAAAATTTGTGTACGCTACGTCTAATTTTAGGTAATGCTGTAACAAGGTAATTATTTATTATTATTTTTTAAATGAGGTTATCTTGATTTAATTGTACCATGCATACAGGTGTTCAAGTAAAAATTGTAAAAATAGTACTATATTGAACAATGTACGGGAGCACAACATACTCAACACACCAAAAATATATTAGCCGGCAATACAGCTAGAGAAAAATATAAAAATAGTTTGTCATAATACTTGTGTAACAATGCTTGAGAAACACTTGGAAAATCACGCGAATTTATTAACCATTTCCGAACCGAATTTTAAGGTAATGATGAACAATAAATCTAAGAATATGTGGTATATATAACTTCAATCTCATTTCAGACTGAATGCATCAAAAAGTTGCAGGAATTCAATAGAAGTGTCATATTTGTGGAGGAGATGCGGAAGCTCAAATAAGGGAAACGAAAGCGTTTGGGTATCAAGGCCACAGAAGGCAGTAACAGCTGGGATGGTCATCAATGAAATGAAATGTGTAAAATGATTAGAAAATTAAAAAATAAATATTATATACTATTACTCACTTTCGTAAGCTTATTCTACAATTAGAAGCATAAGCTTATAAATAAATGTTCAATATCGAGTATTTTATATTTGTCACACAAACATTTTCAATGCTTTCTCACGATTTTTTCAAGTTTAAGATTATAATATTAATCTCAAGACATTTTGGTATGTTGGGTAGTGAAAGAGTCTACTGTATTTAAGTTTTCTGAAATCTGCAAAACAATTTTTCTCGTTTTGTGCACATTTTTCATAAAACTTACCCCATTTCTTCCTTTGTTGATCTAACACCGGTGAACGCTTTATATGAGTGCAGCATATAACGGCATAAAAACGTTGCTGGTTGTCAAAGCGCTTTAAAAGTAATCTAGTTTGGACACCACGGCTGCCAGATTTTGCAATCATTAGTTTGGTGAATATTTTGAAAATGCCATCTCTCTGATAGTGGTGGATTTAACTGCTGGCAAATCTATTCTCTCCTGTCTTTGACCAGCCGTCAGCTGATGCAGTCGAACAAATAGATGTCACCTTTTATTTTTGCACTTGTGTTGGACGTTTGTTATTCTTCTCAGTTTCTATTTTTATGTTAAAAAAATTAATAATTGATTCAATTTTTTCATAAATGTTGAGTTTTCGGAATCTGTTGCGATTATTAAAGAACGCGAACGAAACAAGATTATTGCTTTACAACAAGGAGTCGTTGACGTTGAACAATTTACGTAAGCAATGCTAATCTAACAAATTCTTATGGCTATTTGGACCTCCTTGGTAGGTACAACACTAATAATTGCGATATGGAATTTATAGTGTATTCGCCGTAAACAGATAACAAACTACTAAATATAAAGGTTTTTAAATGACGACTCCGTGCGTGCTGTTTTGATCAGCTATTTCAAATGAACTGCCATGAACTACTGCTAACAACGACGAGCTGATACTGTGTTGTGCTCAAAGAAAATACGACAAATGGAAAAACTCCCCAAAATATTCACATGGAATTATATTCGCATTTTTCTCATTAAATGAATGTACATAGGCAATTTGTTTTGCTTGCTCTCTCTTAATTCTTATCATTTGACGGTTTTGTACATTTGAGAATGAGACCTGCGCATTGATTTTTATACCTTTTCAAACATACGTTAAATATCGATGTAAGCCTCCTCATTATGGACAGGTATTCATCTAGCAGTGTTATCGATACAATGGACAAAAGTATTCCTTACCTGTGTACCTGTTGTGTTAAATCTTTTAAAATGCGTGATCCTTTGTGAAGACGTCACAATTAGGGTCCATTGTCAATTATATGTAGATATCAACACGAAAGACGTCCTATTTCTATTGTTACAACACCCCATTATTTCTTATGAGGAACTCAATCACAGTTCTATGAAAATGTGAAGTGAAGACATTTACAAAGGAGAAATGTGAAATGCAAAAATAAAAACATTGATTCCCACGAAGGTCAGCAATTATTGTAATGATAGGTCTTTATTCTGACAATTCTATTGATTGTCAAAATAAAACATTTTGAACGGCCTCATTACCCAATTACACATGGACCGTAACTCCATTTAAGTTAACCAAAGGTCAAAACCTTTTAAATAATTGGATGTTAAATGAAATTGTATGGACGTTACCGAAATATTTTTATCTTATTCTTTATTGAAAAAAATGTGAATTGTCCAATATTGGTCTGTTGCAGAACCTGCAAGCAACTACTTTTTTGCAATTTTTGTCGATATCATAAAGGGAAATTCGGTTATCGTAGTAAAAACTATTACATTCTTGCAATTCTGGAAAAGACCATTTATTTGAATCTTAAAAATTTAGCGGTAACTAGTTTTCGAAAAAAAAAAAAAAATAAAATTGTGAACAATATCCTTGTGGATTCACAAAACTATTAATAATGTAATAGCCTCAAGGCGAAATGAAGAAACTACAAACTCGAATGCTTACAATTTTTTTTTTCTCAAAATTATACATTTGACATCATCTCTTTGTCAAAATTTTTGTTTATATATGGAAATCATAGATGGGAACCATTACCATGGATTTGTAATTATAAATTTAGACAATGAGATGTCAAACGAATAATTTGGAAAAAAATTGTGAACATAGGTAAAGTCATGCACCTTCTTAATTTTCTTTCTTTTTTATTTAATCCATTTTTAATACCTCGGCCTCCAAGCCAATTAATAGTATCACACTAAAGTATTATAAATGAAGTTATAAAATGCAGTCAGTAGAGGCAATCAGTACAGGCATAATAATCAACAAGATGCAAATATATCAAGCATTTTGTTGAGAAATAATATTATAATATTTCATCATCTAGTTTGATCATCGTAAAAAGCAGTTTATGTTAAAATCACACAGTTTTTTCACAAATAATTTTGCTAGATATTTCTATGTAGTGAAGAATCGGCAGTTTTTTATATAGTAAATAGGAATATTTTTGAGAAATTTGTAAGAATAGAAACCTACATGAATGGATTGTAATATTAAAAACTTAATGAAAGGCCAATGTTTCTTTTACATGTTATGTTATTTATATCTTTAAAAAGTAATTTCGTCACAAAATGGGTAAAAGCTGTACATACAATCTTTGAAGTTCCTAAGAATTTGAATATTTTGTAAACAATTTCTATATAATTCAAAATTATACACACACAACACAACGAAATGTGATATGTTAAGCCTTATAAATAAAAATGAGAATTGATGAGTAGCCGTGTTCTAAATAAGTTTCATTGCATCATGATTTAAGCCATATTTTCCAGTAGATATTAACATTTACAGAACAGAACTCTAAATTTGTATAAAATAATCGTCGTGAAAGTACTGGCATATCAACGCTTATTAGAATATAACAAAATCTTTTCAAATTGTCATAAAACCAGACTAAAACGAAAACGTTCAAATACGAAAGTATTCAGGATGTTATTATAAAATATCAAAAAATTAAGATAGATGTAAAATTTTCTCAACAACACCAAAATTGAATTTTAGTGTCAATTTTTTTATTTTTTCTACAGCAAGCATCCAATATCAACCACTACCCAGTCTACTTTGCAACTCTAGATATATGTCGAAAACAAAGTTTATGTTAACAGAAGTTGATGGCGACCTCTTCAGTGCCCCAGAGTCACATTCGTTAGCCCATTGTGTGGCAGCTGATTTTGGTATGGGCGCCGGAATTGCAGTGAAATTTAAGCAAATCTATGGACAAGTTGATGAACTACTATCGCAGGGAGTACAAAGTGGCGGGGTCGCTGTACTCAAAGATAATCGGAGATTCATATACTATTTGGTAACCAAAAACAAAGTTGGGACAAACCGACTTATGATACATTAAGAAGTTCACTGGAGGCAATGCGAGAACACATGGTAAACATTCAAAATTGAATATATTGATATTATCTTGTTAATTTTTATATTTTAGAAATTTTTTCAAGTTTAAGATTATAATATTAATCTCAAGACATTTTGGTATGTTGGGTAGTGAAAGAGTCTACTGTATTTAAGTTTTCTGAAATCTGCAAAACAATTTTTCTCGTTTTGTGCACATTTTTCATAAAACTTACCCCATTTCTTCCTTTGTTGATCTAACACCGGTGAACGCTTTATATGAGTGCAGCATATAACGGCATAAAAACGTTGCTGGTTGTCAAAGCGCTTTAAAAGTAATCTAGTTTGGACACCACGGCTGCCAGATTTTGCAATCATTAGTTTGGTGAATATTTTTGAAAATGCCATCTCTCTGATAGTGGTGGATTTAACTGCTGGCAAATCTATTCTCTCCTGTCTTTGACCAGCCGTCAGCTGATGCAGTCGAACAAATAGATGTCACCTTTTATTTTTGCACTTGTGTTGGACGTTTGTTATTCTTCTCAGTTTCTATTTTTATGTTAAAAAAATTAATAATTGATTCAATTTTTTCATAAATGTTGAGTTTTCGGAATCTGTTGCGATTATTAAAGAACGCGAACGAAACAAGATTATTGCTTTACAACAAGGAGTCGTTGACGTTGAACAATTTACGTAAGCAATGCTAATCTAACAAATTCTTATGGCTATTTGGACCTCCTTGGTAGGTACAACACTAATAATTGCGATATGGAATTTATAGTGTATTCGCCGTAAACAGATAACAAACTACTAAATATAAAGGTTTTTAAATGACGACTCCGTGCGTGCTGTTTTGATCAGCTATTTCAAATGAACTGCCATGAACTACTGCTAACAACGACGAGCTGATACTGTGTTGTGCTCAAAGAAAATACGACAAATGGAAAAACTCACCAAAATATTCACATGGAATTATATTCGCATTTTTCTCATTAAATGAATGTACATAGGCAATTTGTTTTGCTTGCTCTCTCTTAATTCTTATCATTTGACGGTTTTGTACATTTGAGAATGAGACCTGCGCATTGATTTTTATACCTTTTCAAACATACGTTAAATATCGATGTAAGCCTCCTCATTATGGACAGGTATTCATCTAGCAGTGTTATCGATACAATGGACAAAAGTATTCCTTACCTGTGTACCTGTTGTGTTAAATCTTTTAAAATGCGTGATCCTTTGTAAAGACGTCACAATTAGGGATTCGGTCCATTGTCAATTATATGTAGATATCAACACGAAAGACGTCCTATTTCTATTGTTACAACACCCCATTATTTCTTATGAGGAACTCAATCACAGTTCTATGAAAATGTGAAGTGAATACATTTACAAAGGAGAAATGTGAAATGCAAAAATAAAAACATTGATTCCCACGAAGGTCAGCAATTATTGTAATGATAGGTCTTTATTCTGACAATTCTATTGATTGTCAAAATAAAACATTTTGAACGGCCTCATTACCCAATTACACATGGACCGTAACTCCATTTAAGTTAACCAAAGGTCAAAACCTTTTAAATAATTGGATGTTAAATGAAATTGTATGGACGTTACCGAAATATTTTTATCTTATTCTTTATTGAAAAAAATGTGAATTGTCCAATATTGGTCTGTTGCAGAACCTGCAAGCAACTACTTTTTTGCAATTTTTGTCGATATCATAAAGGGAAATTCGGTTATCGTAGTAAAAACTATTACATTCTTGCAATTCTGGAAAAGACCATTTATTTGAATCTTAAAAATTTAGCGGTAACTAGTTTTCGAAAAAAAAAAAAATAAAATTGTGAACAATATCCTTGTGGATTCACAAAACTATTAATAATGTAATAGCCTCAAGGCGAAATGAAGAAACTACAAACTCGAATGCTTACAATTTTTTTTTTCTCAAAATTATACATTTGACATCATCTCTTTGTCAAAATTTTTGTTTATATATGGAAATCATAGATGGGAACCATTACCATGGATTTGTAATTATAAATTTAGACAATGAGATGTCAAACGAATAATTTGGAAAAAAATTGTGAACATAGGTAAAGTCATGCACCTTCTTAATTTTCTTTCTTTTTTATTTAATCCATTTTTAATACCTCGGCCTCCAAGCCAATTAATAGTATCACACTAAAGTATTATAAATGAAGTTATAAAATGCAGTCAGTAGAGGCAATCAGTACAGGCATAATAATCAACAAGATGCAAATATATCAAGCATTTTGTTGAGAAATAATATTATAATATTTCATCATCTAGTTTGATCATCGTAAAAAGCAGTTTATGTTAAAATCACACAGTTTTTTCACAAATAATTTTGCTAGATATTTCTATGTAGTGAAGAATCGGCAGTTTTTTATATAGTAAATAGGAATATTTTTGAGAAATTTGTAAGAATAGAAACCTACATGAATGGATTGTAATATTAAAAACTTAATGAAAGGCCAATGTTTCTTTTACATGTTATGTTATTTATATCTTTAAAAAGTAATTTCGTCACAAAATGGGTAAAAGCTGTACATACAATCTTTGAAGTTCCTAAGAATTTGAATATTTTGTAAACAATTTCTATATAATTCAAAATTATACACACACAAACACAACGAAATGTGATATGTTAAGCCTTATAAATAAAAATGAGAATTGATGAGTAGCCGTGTTCTAAATAAGTTTCATTGCATCATGATTTAAGCCATATTTTCCAGTAGATATTAACATTTACAGAACAGAACTCTAAATTTGTATAAAATAATCGTCGTGAAAGTACTGGCATATCAACGCTTATTGGAATATAACAAAATCTTTTCAAATTGTCATAAAACCAGACTAAAACGAAAACGTTCAAATACGAAAGTATTCAGGATGTTATTATAAAATATCAAAAAATTAAGATAGATGTAAAATTTTCTCAACAACACCAAAATTGAATTTTAGTGTCAATTTTTTTTATTTTTTCTACAGCAAGCATCCAATATCAACCACTACCCAGTCTACTTTGCAACTCTAGATATATGTCGAAAACAAAGTTTATGTTAACAGAAGTTGATGGCGACCTCTTCAGTGCCCCAGAGTCACATTCGTTAGCCCATTGTGTGGCAGCTGATTTTGGTATGGGCGCCGGAATTGCAGTGAAATTTAAGCAAATCTATGGACAAGTTGATGAACTACTATCGCAGGGAGTACAAAGTGGCGGGGTCGCTGTACTCAAAGATAATCAGAGATTCATATACTACTTGGTAACCAAAAAACAAAGTTGGGACAAACCGACTTATGATACATTAAGAAGTTCACTGGAGGCAATGCGAGAACACATGGTAAACATTCAAATTGAATATATTGATATTATCTTGTTAATTTTTATATTTTAGAAATCTAACAATGTTGAAAATTTGGCTATACCTCGTATAGGATGTGGTATCGATGGCCTCGAATGGAATAAAGTAATTGCTGAACTACACAAGGTTTTTTGTAACGAACATCTACACATTGTAGTTTATAATTTTGTTCCAAAGTAAAAATATATATTTTTCCACTGGATACAGCAGTTTATCCGAATTTTATGAAACGTATGATTGTAAATTCCAATGTTTAAATTAAAAATGTAAAAGAGATCGTAAATAACAAATTCTGTTCAAGCTGTTATATGGATAACAAGCTGGCCCGGTCGGCGTTGCCGGCAAGTAAAGATCGCTATTTAATACCGTATTGCGCACTCATTTCATTTTTTGTATTATTCATTTAGAATTCTAAACAATAAAAAATGAACACTTCAATATAGTATATGAAATTGCCATATTTTCTCGCGAATCCGAAATTGTATGAATTGTTTAAATCCGTCAAACCGTTCTTGAGTTATAAGCGTAGTAAATTACATTTCTTTCTTTTATATTGTGAAAATATTCTTTATTTTGATTAAATTCAATATGATACCCCAAACTGAAAACAAATCGTGCATTATATAAAATTGACAAAAAAGAAATACAAATTGAAGAGGAAAAAATCTTCAACTTGTTTGCTGGTACATTTACAGCCAATGTTTCAAGGTCCTTACGAAGTTTGACAATAGAATGTACTGTTTGATTTTGATATTCGGCACGATTGAAAAACTTTTCTCGATTTAGTTTCGCCAACACGTAATTCGGTACTACACTTCAATGTAAGTATCCTGCAATTTCAGTTCTCATGAAACAAGACACTTAAATAAAGTTAATCAAATTGAAAAAACCCGTTCGTACATAACAAAATATTGTTCTTTTTTTTTGTTCATAGCTTATCCTCTTCTGAAATTATATTATTCGTTTAGTAATAATAAATACATAAAATCTATAAATTAAAGAATTGTCCATTGTCGCTTTATACTCCCCAAAAAGATTACACAACATATAAGAAATCAAGAAAAAAGCACTACAAATGTACATTCGAAAATAGTAAGTAAAAATGGAAAAAATCATACAATATAAAACACTACAATTGCACATCTGAAAAGTCAAAATAAATGTTTTTTTTTTTTTTTTTGGATTTTATCCTTTTCCGCCAAGAGAAAATTACGAATTTGTCTGAATCGTTAAATCATATTAGCGGTTCTTGAGTTATAAGCGTAGTAACTAACACAAATGTCTTATATATTGATATTTGCCATCTCATTTTTCAATGATACTTGCATAAACAGCCGGACATGTCACAAAATCGAATCGAAATGGTTGGAGCCGTAATTTAAAATCGATCCGTTTTGTTTTAGTTCGTCAGATTCCGATCGAATGGGTGAACTACGAAAATCTCATTATTCAGTTTAAATATGACAACATTAGAGGATTAAAAGAGCGAATAAATGACGAATCAAAACAAACCACATGATTAGAAAACGCTGTAAAAGTGGAAATTGTGAAATATATTCTGTTTAATAGAGTTTCTTCTGTGAATGAAAGTTAATTTTGTTAATTTTTACACAATGTCGGGAGTTTCGATTATTTCTGTAATTGAGGCGTAATGTGATGAACACAATACACTAGAGCCCCGACTTGCGTCGTTAATGGGGACCGGAGAATCGCGACGCAAATTAAATCACCTTTTTCTATACTTATACAAAATGAGCTGAAATTTATTTTACTGGGGAAAATATTCAAAACAAAGTAAAAAAATTTATATCTATATCTATAAAAGAGGAAAATGTTTGTATGTTTGTTTGTTTGTAATTTATGGACTCGAAAACCGCTGAATAGATTTTCCTGAAAATTTCCATATATACTGAAAGTAACATAGGCTATATACATTTTTGAATTTCCACTTGGAACTGGAGATATAGCATCAGAATCGGAGGTACCTCCCAAAAATTTAGATTTTATATGCACATATGTATTGATTGGTTGAATATACGGTCTCCACATTTGGAATACGTAACGGAATTTGGAACAAAAATAAGTTAGCAAAATTATATTGTAATCGGTTCAGATTTGGATATAGCTCCCATATATATTTTCGACCGATTTTGTTCATTTGATGCCTCAAACGCAATATGAATGTTCGATTCTAATAAAATTTGGAATGTGTGACGGGATTTAATCCGAAAATAAATTTGTCAAATTATATTGAAATCGGTTCAGATTTGGATATAGCTCCCATATACATTTTCGGCCGATTTCATATATTTGGTGGACCAAACACGATATGTATTTCCAATTGTAATGAAATTTAAAATAAGTAACGGAATTGGGAGCCAAAATGAATTTGTCAAATTAAATTGAAATCGGTTCAGATTTGGATATAGCTCCCATACATATTTTCGACCGATTTGTACCGCTATGTATCTCTAATTTCAATGAAATTTGGAATGTGTAGCGGAAATTAAAACAAATATACATTTGTCAAATTATATTAAAATCGGCTCAGATTTGGATATAGCTCCCATATATATTTTCCGCCAATTTCACATATTTGATGCACAAAACACGATACGCATTTCCGATTCCAATGAAATTCGGCATGAGTGGCTAAATTTGGTACAAAAATAAGTTTGACAAATTATATTCAAATACGCTCAGATTTGATTATAGCTCCCATATATATACTCTGCCGATTTCACATATTTGATGCACCCAAAGCGAGAGAGACAAAATCTGGCACCAGAAAAAATTGCCAAATTATATTGAAATCAGTTGAGGTTTGGATATAGCTAACATATATATATTTCGGCCGATTTCATACATGTTATGCACCAAACATGATATATACGACCGATACCAATGAAATTCAGAATGTGTGGCGGAATTTGGTTACAATAATAAATGTGACAAATTAATTGGAAATTAGTTAAGATTTGGATATAGCTCCCATGTATATATTATCGGCCGATTTCACATATTTGACGCACTAATTTCAATGAAATATGAAAGGAGTGGCGGAGTTTGTGTAAAAGTATTTTTTTTAAATTATATTTAAATCGGATCAGATTGGGATATGATTTTAATAAGAACCATTGACCCACAACGCCTTAGTCTAACACTAAAAAACAACACAACAATTGATTTGAAATACGATTATTACGGCGAAGTATGTTGCTATCTCGAATTCACTAATTGCAATAGAAATGCCACTTAACTTCAAAAGATTGTAGTTTACTGCACGCTTGGTATTTGCTATGAAATAAATAAATCCGAAGGACAAACCCTTCGTGTATGTATGTCATGTTCCTGTTTTGCTAATGGTTTTGGTTATTTACGCATTAAAGTAGTGCAATAATTATTTTTTAATTTTTATTTTTTTTTTTTTAACCAACATATATTCGTAAATAAAATTTTGAATGCATATAAAATCAAAAGGGGTAGCGAAGCGCGCCGGGTTCAGCTAGTTTTTGATAAAAAAAAACAAGTATGAATACATTTGTAGGTGCACACTTTACAATGTTTGTACTTGTAAACTTTCATCACTTCTTCTTTGAATTTTAAATTGCCAAGAAAATACTTTTTTTTTTAAATTATAATTTTTTGAGTTCTTGTATTTCTTTCAAAAACCAAATATAAGTTTTGTTAATTTTTTATAAATGTGCCATTGTGTCCCCATGCTCTTTCTCAAAAAACTAGAGGACCACTCGGAAGTTGCGACAATTCCAGATGACAGTGGTATCTCGTGTCGCCTTTTTGTTAAAGATAAGCTTTCCAACAGAGATTTTTTAATTGTAACCGGTGCCGATGTGTCTGTAAATCCTCCGAGTTTCAAGACTTCAAAAACGTCAGACTGTGGTATTAAAACTTTTGCTGCTAATGGTTCTTCAATTCGTACTTTCAGTCAGAAAATTATGCATATAGATTTTGGATTACGGAGAAATTTTTCTTGGACCTTTATTATAGCAGATGTTACAAAACCCATTATTGGTTCTGATTTTTTAAAACATTTTCATCTTCTTCCTGATCTTAAGCGTAAAGCATTAATTGATGGCAAAACTGATCTGCAAGTTTCAGCGAAAATTTCTAAATATCCGTCACTAGGCATAACAACATTGGTGAAAGATGAAAGATGCTATCACTACTCCATTTGGTTTACACGAATTGACGATGTCCTTATATTTTCAAAATCGGCTGCTGAACATTTGGAGCATCTAAAGATTGTTTTTGAGAGGTTTCAAAAATATGGCATTGTCGTCAATCACGGTAAATGTTCTTTCGGTAATAGTGAAATTGATTTCCTTGGTTTCCGAATATCATCAACTGGAATGCAACCCATCCGAAGCATAGTTGACGAAATTAAAAGTATCCCTAAGCCTTCGACTATAAAGGACTTACGATGCTTTCTCGGAATGGTAAACTTTTATAGACGGTTTTTACCTAATGCAGAGACAGAACAAGCCCCACTAAACCAACTTCTCAAGAATGTGGTGAAAAATTATAAACGACCTGTTATTTGGACTAAGGAAGCGGAAAAATCATTTTCGCAATGTAAGTCAAGCTTATCAAATGCAGTGTTGTTATTTCATCCCGTTAGTGCTGCTGAATTATCCATTAAAGTAGATTGATTTGATTGATCGACTTACCCGATGGATGGAAGCAATACCAATGCCGAATATTACACCTGAAACTGTGTCCCAAAGTTTCTTAAATGGCTAGGTATCTCGTTTTGGTTCTCCCGATATTGTTCACAGGGAATCTATTAAAGTTATTGGGAACTCGATTAAAACATTCAACGTCTTATCATCCACAATCGAATGGATTAGTTGAACGTCCTTACAGAACTCTTAAATCCGCATTGATATGCCACAACAAAACTCAATGGACAAGGTCTTTGCCTTTAGTATTGCTTGGGCTAAGAACTTCGGTAAAAGATACTATTATTTGTTCTCCAGTCGAAATGGTATATGGCGCAACACTTCATGTTCCTGGTCAAATGTTCACCGAAAGTAATGTCGTTCTAGATTCAGATGATTTTCTATTACATCTTCAAACATTAATGTCCAGAATTAAACCAGCAACAACTTCAAATAAGAGCAGTTCAAATATATTTATCAACAAGGAATTGAATGTATGTCCCCATGATCGTGTACTTAAACCTCTTGAACAAAAGTTTCATGGACCTTACAGAGTGATCAAGAGATTTCCAATATATTTTACTCTTCAAATCGGAAGCAAGACAGATAACATCACAATTGATCGACTTAAACCAGCATTTACAGAAATTGAAAATTCAGAAATTGATTTAAGTCAAGAAATCACCCCTATCAAATCGAAAGAGAAATCTGTATCGTTTTCACTAGGAAGGGGGTAATGTAGGTGCACACTTTACAATGTTTGTACTTGTAAA